TCCCAGAAGGTATTGCGATACACGATAATATTGTTGTCTTGAGACCATTTTCAAGTAATGAAATAATAATGCAAGAACACATTCTCAAACATCAATAAACTTTCAATTCTGTGGAACATTTACCACCGGAACTGGAAGACATTTTAAATATCCAAAATAAATAAACAAAACAGAAACAGAAAATAAAATGACAAACAAAAATGTAATTCTAAAAAAGAGCTAGTTGAAACCAAATCACCAAACTGAAGACTTTATCATCCAGTTGTTGGCAGAAAGAGAAAAACAATAAATCATGCCAATAGTTGATTTTCTATTGAGCTTGTTTTAATTTACCATGCCATTAACTGATTTATTGATTATTGTGACAGGCCTGAAGCTGAATGTATTTAACCTTCAGGCTATAACTTCGTTTTCCTAGATCTTACAGACTGACATTGTAAAATGTCATTTGTAAGCTGTATTCAGTTCACTTGTTCTTATTTTCTCTTTTTCTCTGGTACACCAGTGAAATCTGTTGTGACTAAAGTGTGAAAAAAATACATTAAGCAACATCGATTAAGATGAAAACAAAAAATAATGAAGAAAATTACAGTTTTTTTTTTAGTTTTTTTTTAATTACAGAGTTCTGTATCATAGATACTGCGCACAATTAATTAGACGAAGCCACATCTTTCTTGGCTGTTCATTTTGCGCCTTAACAAGCCAGGGTGTCTTTACACATATGCTGGAGTTGCATAAGTGTGAAGAAGATCAGCACTTGGTACCAATGAAGTGGAAGGTGTGAAAAACCACATAGAGAATAAATGGAAAATTGAAAAGAGAGACACGCTTTGAGTTAAATTATGGTTAAAGAATTGCAAGCTCGTCATTCCACACCATTCTTTAAGCTCACCGCTCTGATTGTTTGTGCTCTTATCGGAGTTTTACACCACAAACCCTGAATGAGGAATATTATGCAGAAAAGACACATTTGAGTGTTGCTGGGCAGCTAATATTTTTTATTATTATTCCAAATGTGAACCAAATCTCAGTCAGAGTCTTTTCTGTCTTTCTCTATAATAAATTAGGTTTTTGGAACAAATCTGTGTTTTTCTCCACTCTTCGGGCAAACCTCTGTCACAACTCAGAAAAAAGAAAAAAATACCTGCAGTTTGTGCTTCCTGTCCTGAATGTCAGTTTATCTGGAAGTGGAGAAATATCGATGGGCAGCAAACAGTGTGTGCGGAAGGACAACGGCCAGAAACACCATGTTAAAGGTCAGCTTTAATTGGATGCCTATTGTACAAATATTCCATGTCAAGACTAAACAAACAGCCTGACTCCTGATGACAGGATGTGAAACTAATGTGCGACCAGCGGTGATATTTTCAGCCATCTCTGGTATCAACAGCTGCACAGGGAGGAAAAATACAGAGTCAATAATAAGCTGAAGGGCATGGCAGTGTGTCTCTTTGTTTAGATCATCCTGCCCATCTAGTTCAACTAGCCACAAGTAAAACAACACTCATGCTTATTGGATGATGAGCATAAAAGAAAATGAATCACTTAATAGCTTTAGCTTATATCATTCAAACAAGCAGAATCCTTTAATTGGCATCAGTGCTCTTTTTCTGGTTTTCTTTTGAGTTTGAGTTTTGATCATTTCCTTGTGGTGTATTTGTGTTCAATAGGTCTCGTCACATTCAGTTCATTTTTATTAGAATTTTGTTACCTTATCAATTTATCCCTGTTTAGTTTATGAGATTATTTTTGTTTTCTGTTCCTTTAACATTTGATTTAATTTTCTAAGATTTTTCTTAGGTGTCCCCTTTCAGTTTCTCCAGTCTTGCATGTGACAATAATGTACAGGACTGTCAAATGTTTACAAAGAAAACAAATTTAAGACATTTCTCAGAAGGAACTTGAGATATTTCATTCTGCCCTTGTAGTTCTTAATCACTGAGGCGACAACAACAACTAATCTCTTACACATTATCACCTCTTAGTGAATGTCTTGATTCACTTCTCTTGCTCATGGCCATATTCTTTTGTCTTTCTAATGAATCTTTATTGCATAAAAAAAGAAGTCCAAATTACATACTTTTGCTACCAGAGACGCTTTGGTATTTATTAATTTATTGTTCATGGTCTGAAGTTCTTACCACTTGTCTTGGCCTTCAAGCCCCCAATCAGTAACGAGCAGAATCTTCCGTCACCTTGTTCTGGAAACTTTAAAGATTAAAATGACTCGTAACGGGAGGAAATCATAGAGGTACCCCCTCACTGATCTATTGATTTAAACTTTGTTCATCAGGTAAAAGATGGGTACGAACCAGATTACAGCCACACAGAGTCCAAGTGAGAGAGATTAGAGGGCATTTGAAAGAGGAGAAGGGAGCGGGTTTAGCAGGATGAGGGAGAGGAGAGGATTATCAAAGCAGAGCCTGGATCCTAAAATAATCCTCTCAGTGTGCTCGGCTCTATGCTCTACGGGGAAGGGGCCAGTTTGGGCTACAAAGTTGTTATTGCATTCATGGGCCAAATTCTGAAGTTGCAGAAATCACACCAGAGTGTGAGAAGCTCATGACCAAAACCCAATGTTTTAGTAAGAAAGATGCTTGTGTTTTTTTTTGTTTTGTTTTTTGTTTTTTTATTGCATGTAAGCTTAGAACACACACATAAACACACGCGCTCACTCTCACGCGCGCGCTCATCTGCCTTAATCTGGAAAGCTGGTTCAGAGTTACATGCCTCAATGTGAGGTTCTAAGCACCCGCTTCTTTCCATGCTCCATGTTCTAATTTGGGCATTGCCATGGTTACATAAGATTGAGGGTCAGGAGGTCAGTGACGCTGCAGACAAACACCGGATGGATGTGCAGCCACTTTGCAGTGACAGTGGAGATGCACTGCCAGACATAATATAACCACAGAGATTCAGCAGAATGAAAACAATCAGGTTTGGGTAAGCATCCAAATATGAAGAAGAGGAAGTTTACATGCAGCAGCAGGAAAACACATCTCAGTTCACTGATACCGCATATATTTTACTTTAAGAAAACCAAATATACTAAAGCGTCACCCTTTAATCTTTGTGTGTTTTGATTTAATATTATTGTTTCGAGGGACTGTGCAAGTAAGAGAGGCTGAGCCTACTGAAAATTACAGAAAAAAGGTCATGCATGCATACCAACATTAAAGCGGTCCAAAACAATATGTGCCAGCTTAAACATAAAGCGCACATTAGATATACCAAAACACTGAATTAACTGGTATTCACGAGGACACAACAGTGTCCACAGTGGAAAAAGACCTGAGGAGAAAACTACGCATGCCGAAAGAGAAATACAAGAGAGGGAGGGGGTGTGAAGCTCTGTGTTGCTCCACTAACCTACTTACCATAATCTCTCTCTTCTCCCCATTTCATAACTGTGCCCAAGTTACATGATACACTTATCAGCTTGCCCATGCTTGCAAATCAATTATTTTCATCAGAACTCTTATCGATAGGCTTTGCTTTTGAAAGGCGGCTCTAGCCCAGCAGGGTTCCACTATTGTCTTTCATGTGTGTCAACACACCCACACATCAAAGGGAATGCATGGAATCACAGCATACCTGTTGAGCCGTACTTGAAATTGAAGGCTGGATAAGCTGTGAACACATGCAGTTACACTGTTTTTGTTCTTTCAAAACTGATTCTGGATCTGGTTTCAATATAAGCATAAATCTAACTGTAAATGAACCTCTAAATCAATTTATCTGCTAAAATTAGCTAGGTAATCCTGTGAAATAATTACAGCTTCTTTCAAACCCTCTGCAAGTGAAAGGAAACCCGAGGACAAAGTTTGAATCCTCGTGTAACCTTTATGATTATTGAGGTTATTCATTAACTATGGTAAAATTAAGTTCTGTCATTTTATGCAACAAACATTCAGCTGGTTTAAAATGGCTGTTGGGGGATTTCTTGCTACTAAAATGGGAGTTTTTTCCACTTTAAACTCATTCGTAGCACTGTGAAATTCTGGGATGAGGATATAATCGAAGTGAACATTTACCACAGTCCGCTGGTGTGTTTATGTAGGAAACTTTTTCATCTCAGCAAGTGGCTTTTAAAATGACTGCTTTGTGGAATCTGACCTTTTTGATTTGCTTAGAGTTTTATTAAACAGAATTGCATTTCTTTAAAGTAGAACTGTAGGGCTGATTAAATTTTAATTTGACTATACTGTGTTTAATCATAGATTGGACTTAACTTAAAAAAATGGATTTAAATATTTTTAAAGATATTTAGATAGTTTTTACTTTTTCAGTATATTATATTTTTGGATTGCTCTTGTTGCGTTGCTCTCCTTTATTGAACGACATTTGAGATAGTGTTGAGTAAGACTAATCCAAATTTAATATAACTAATAAATTAACTGACTTTATTTACATTGTAGATAAAGTCTAAGTTTAGCTGAATTATTTAATTTCTCTTTGAGATCAATAAAGTATTTTTGATTTAATTTGAATTTAATTAAACTGAACTGAATTAGGCGGGGACTGACTATAGTTGGTCTGAGAAGAGCTCAAAAAATGAAGTGAAGTAAAAAATACATTTCCCCCTTCCTCATGTACAATGTCCGTTTTTCTACGCTATATTGTTTAAATTGTGTGCATTAAATGAAATTCTAGGTAAATAATTGTCTCAGAACACACACAGTCAATAAAATAAAAAAGTAATTGAAATAACAAATAGCTGACTTTTTTTGTTGTTGTTGTTGTTTATTGTCAACGTATGCAACACCCATGGAGGCCGCCACGGAGAAGTTGTTTTTCTTAAGTAAAGGAGTATTAAAACCTGCTGTGTGCAACATGTAAATATCCACCGGGAAAGAAATAGTCGCTTATTATTGAGGTTTAAATTCCCACGCTGGGTGACTGCCGCTCTGAACTGACACACTGCCACACTTTCCCACGCACGCGAGAGCCTCCTTAAAGCACGTAGGGGGGGTTGCGCGCGCGTCAACTCACGGGGCACGAGGCGGGCGGACCGCGGGATGAGGATCATGTGTAGTCCACGCGCTGAAACTGGGTTAGTGCGAGCAGCGGAGCAGGAGAGAGCTAGAAGAAGAAGAGCCGCCACCGCTCGTTTAACACATCTAGTTTTATCTCAGCTGCAAGGGGAAAGTAGCATATAACAAACAGGCATCGTTGATTTATACGCTAATAAGGCCAGAGTGAGTTAAGAAAGAGTAAAAAAAAAAAAAAAAGGATTTGGTATTGTGGCAGTCTTCAGCTTATCCTGCTTGAAGTGAATAAATGCCCGTCGCTCTCTGTGCTTTCTTGCTTCTTTTCCACTTGGAGTTACATGCCCTGGAGAGTTGATTAAACTTCACCGAAGAAATGAGAGGTGAGTGGATGAGATTTTTGCTGTGAATTCGCTTCAGTTTAGGCAGAAAACCTGCCACGCCAGGTTTGTTTACAAAGCAACTTTTCAGCTGTGCGGTGAAGGCGCTACTTTTGAGCCCGAAGTGCGTGGACCCCGAGCTTGCTGTGACATCAAGCAGAAATGAACAACCTATAGTAAATTATCACTGTCATTTTACAGAGTTTGCTAAACAACTTCTCCTCTTTGAGAAATATAAATTCTCAAAAGTACACAGTGTTTTTTTATGCGTTTATCGATTTATAAATTATAGCTTTAACATGTTGGTAGTTATTCTGTCACAAATTGTTGTGTTCCATAATATTTAATTTGAGTTGGTGGCAACAAATATATGTTACAGCGTTGGTCCTGCTACTTTTTTTTTTTTTTTTTTTTTACCAGTAAGCCATTGACTCCAGTTATGTAAGACTGAGGAAAGGGAGGCGGTGAGCAGAGTGATTCATGGGCTGTCAAGGCACATTAATATCTGCTGGCAGGGATTGTTCAAGTTAAATAGACTAAGGAGTCCGTTTCCAGAGACGTTTTTGTTTGCCTAATTTTAACTTTAAACTAAGCGTTTTCAAAGCCAGATTAGTTATTTGTGATTCAGACATGAGTTTTTCAGTTTGTTCAGCAAGTTTACTTTGGTTCGTTTAAAGCAAATTTTGTTTTATGTTCATAAAAGTTCACAGATGCTGCTTTTATTTATGGGGTGTAACTAAAATAATTTGCTCATCAGACAGAGTGTTTTTGTTGTCAGAATCAGCAGTTTCACTGGAGAGGTAGAGGAGGTGCTCCGTTGACCTAGTTCTGTCATTGAAGATTACAGCTAGTCTTTGTGTTTATGGGTGCGTGTGTTTGGGTGTGTGTTTGCGTGTGTGTTAGCGTGTGATGGCGAGGGTTTGTCACCAATAGGTAAAAGCATAAATTTTAATCTTATAAGCATGTGCTGAAGAACTAATACAAATTTTCCAAAATATTTAAATTCACAAAATCCTTTATGTAAGATCACGTATATTTGTAGTGAACACAGAAATGTCAATTAAACTAGAGATTCTTTAATTAAATGCATCAAAATTAAGTACTCATACTGAAATATGATGAAGTAGACTATTAAAAACCAAGTTTAATTAACATATGTTTTATGACGTGAATAATGATACTCTTGTAATTCCTTCCCATTCTGTAAATTAAAAACTACTACCTCTCTCAAATAATCTACTTCACATTTTTCCTTTGTGCGGTTTAGTTCTTAGAAAAACGAAGGACAGTACTATCCCATAAAAGCCTGATCAGTGCATGTTTAGATAAAAATCATTTTTGTTTTGCTCAAAATCTACAAGTTGGTTCAGTTTTGCCGTGATGTTATAGACCATCATCCACCGCTGGGACAAGCAGGATATGGGCACAGCAAGCCCACATATGAAGCACAGCAGGGCTCAGTTGAGCTTCCTCTGCCAGCTAAGGTTACAACCATAACACTGCTTCTCAATAGGATTTTGTAAAATAAAATATCACATTTCTTTTCAAAAGTAAAAAAAAAAAAATGATTGTTTAGGGGAAATAGTTTCCTAAAATAAGTGGAAAGGATACTAGTTTATTAAGGCATTATTTATGTACACTCTTGCATAAAGAAGTTAAGTAACTGTGAGCCAGTAGAGTCAAGTAGACTAAGCCAAACAACATTCTTACAGTTCATCCTTAAAGAAGCACAGTAAGCCACAGTTAGTGTGTTAGGTTTCAAGAAGAGTTTTCTCTCTGCTCTCCAAGGACATCACTGTGCTGAGCTGAGCCTCGCGGCCACTATCTGTTGAGAAAACAGCCTTGGGGAAGATCACAGCAAGTTACAGTATATGTCAAGGTGCCCTTTCTCTCTGACAACTGCATGCTTAGATTCTGCTGCCCCTATGTGAAGCTGAGACTCTTCACACAAGAATGCAGGCAAATCTTAGGAGGTATCAATGCATTATCTGGTATTATAACTGCAGGCTGTGATTACCTAACACATTCTGTCTTTAAAATTTGCCTAGGCTCTTCATGTCTTATTGTGGTGTCATATCTGATATTATGTATCTTTTTTTCAAAGTATGCATAAAGACAATCATACCCAAACAGACAGATATTTTAATTCAAGGTGACAGTAATCGGTGCAGTTGTACACACTGGTATGCGTTTCTGTGGTTTATTGCAGAATGCAAAAAAAAAAAAAAAAAAAAAAAAAAAAAAAAAAGCATGTTGGTTTTTGGTTTCCCCCATTTGGTTTTTTTTTGGGGTTGGAAGATTTTTTTTG